CACAGCCCCCGTTTCAGCGTAACTCGATGGTCGGTGTAACTACAACTGAATCAAGTATATACTCATGCATTTGTATATTTTGTTATTTTAGTTCACTATGCATAGTTTTTAACTCCAGAGTGTTTTAAAAATTGATGATGATTGCTAAAAAACTTTGATCCACCTACAGAGTCTATTATTTTATAGTGTGTTGCCTTAGAAATATAACATTGTTCAATGAGAGGAAGAGTGTTAGTATTTTGCTCTCTTCTCACTATTTAAGAGAGATATTAGGACAACAGCCTCAATAAAATGGCAACTTGCAAAAATCTAATTCAAKCATTTTAATAGCAGAACAAAAAGGCCTTCAATTGAAGAGCTAAATGTGGCGTTCAAGAAACTAGTTAGCATGTAGAAAACACGTTAGGGACAGAGCTTACGCGTTATTTGGTCACACTTTATTCGATGCTGGCCTTTTGTTTGATATCAAGACCATTAATCAGTGTCCAAAATACAGGGAATAAAAGCCGAAATAGTCTCCTTTCCTTCCTTTTAAGTAAGAAGGAAAGGGCTGCACAATTTTCAACCCTGTGTAGTGAGGACTAAGGGAACAAGAGTGAGCAGTGGCTGATCGTATGGCTGTTTTTGAGTGCTCCTGGTTTATAGGTTGAAGCCACAGAGATGGTTCTGGTGTGTAGATGCTTCTGAGGGCAGCACAGTGTTAAGGGAGTAACCTCTGTGTGGAATTAGTATATGTTGGCTCACCTAGGGGGTAAATAATGCTTCCTCTTTACTTTTGTTTGAGTATAATTGGACTTGGGTACTAAGCTCTTGCTCTGTGTTTCTTTTTTCATGTTCTATGTTTCTTGCTGTTTGTGTTATCCGTGTTTCCTTGACAGGTATTACTCWTTACATCTGATACTGTCTTTTTAAGTCAGCATTTGCACATTTTTGCCCGTTGTTCTTCCATGTATAGAGTAAGGTTTTAGTGTAAGGTGTATAAGCACAGGAAGCTCTTCCTTTGCATCCTGCTGTCTTTGGCTGAGCCGAGTGCCCTGGCATCCCTCAGGAGATCCAGCCTCTGCGCAGCGCTTCCCCTGACCACCAGCGCCAGCTTTGCAGCACCTCCTCTGGGGCGTTTGCAAAGTGCGCTCAACGTGTTCCCTCCCTGCAGACTGCAATTAATTGAGATGCTTCAAGCAGAGCCATTTATTTACACGCAGTGACTGGGGCTCCACACGCGCTATTTTCACTGCGGGTGCACGTGTCCAGAGGCAGGGAGCCCTGAGGAGCCCGTCGGCACCGAGGGCATCTCTGCGCGGCGCGCGCAGGAGAGCTCGCGTGAGCAGAGCCGGGGCCTGGCAGCCAGCGGAGGAGTTAAATCCTGGCGGGGATTGCAGGGCCTCAGCTGGAGCATCTCCACAGGCTTGGAGCGATCAAACGCAGCTGAGGCCAATTTAAAACAAAACAACAACAAAAATCTGCCTGTTCTTATGGCAGGGGGAGTGGGGTTTTGCTGAGCCCTTAGCAATGACTCTAATGGAACAAAAAGTGGTTGCTTTCTGTGGCGCTAATGGTGCTCAGGTATGTGACGAGCAGGATGTCTSTGTGGGGAAATGCAGGGTGTTTGGCTGAGGAGAAACCTGGAATAAAYATGGACATCAGAGGAGCCTTTTGTTGTCCAACTGGGGTGCCCTCTGAGCTCTGTTATGGGAGCTGTTTTCTGACCCTGCTCTAAAACCCGAGGGATAAAAAAAAAAATAGGGTTTCTTTTCCTGAAATGTATAACTTAGTGGAAAAAACTCTGCTTTATAAGAGGCCTGTTCAGGATATTGAAATCAAGTTTTTTTTCAAATTGCCTAATGAAGTTTCTTGTAGAACTTGGCAAGCTATTCAGAATTGCATTTCATGGGTTACTTGTGGGCAGTTATGGTATTTAGGATTTGAGCTCTGTTGGTGGGTTAAGGCTGGGCATGTAACTCAATGGAGATGGCTTTTTTTTTCCTCCTCAGAGTATGCAGAACTTCTAGAACTAGCATATTAATATTAATATTTATGTYTGAGTGCCTTTTAATCCTCAGTCCTATATTTATTTAAAATTTGCCATTTCTGCTTGCTCTTCTGCCAATACACTGATTTGTTAGATATTTGTGTAGTGTTTGTGTGTAATATATCTTCATACTAAATTTAAACTGCCCCTTTCATTGGTTTGAAAAAAAGCTTCAGATTGTGAGGTGGGGATTTTGTTTCTGGTTTTGCTTGACTTTTTCTCTGCTTTTCAGGTAGGATGAGATAAATTTAAGTTGATTATATTACCAGTTGTTTCCCAGCATCTTACACTATCTTAAARTGTCTGTACATACCTGCTGTCATTGTAGAAGAGAATTCAAATTTTACAATTATGGTAATTGTACTCAACAGAAATCTACACTCCCAATAAAATTACATTTTGTGTTTTATCTTTTTTTTTAAAGAAAAACAATCTCACTCTGTATTCATTCAAAGGTTTTTGAAGCTTTGTTTTTCCTTAGAAGATGTCCTAGATTTTATTCTTTAATGTTGTTCCTGATTTATTGAATGTCCATGTTTCCCCGGATAGTACCATCTTTTGAGTTATACATCATCAGAGTGACTCATTCCGATGATGTATTGCATTAATACATCATCAAAGCGCCTTGCTCTGCTGTTGCACTAATGATATGTTAGTATAATACATCATCAGAGTGAACTGCACTGATGATGTATTACTTAGATGGTGATGGCATTCCGTGAAGAAAAGGTTGAGGAGCAGGTTCAATACAGTCACAGGAGAAAAATTAGTCAATACAGAGTATAACTGTTTCCCTGGTAGTGATGCTGATGCTAAATTAGCACCATAGCCTCTGATCTGTACCCTTACAGCAGCACAGAAACATGCATTATCCCCGAAAGAGGAATGAATTCAGAACACCCAGCTAAAGGATTTTACAGGACAGAGGAGAGGTGTAACTATACATATCACTGGAAAGTTAAAGGTTACACATATAGCTATAATTACTGGCGACTGAGAACTGAATGAATCAAACAGGGCCAAAATAGGACCAATGTCTACATGTGTTCAGAAACCACCTCTGGAGAATGACTTGATGGGAAGATGGAGATGTAAGGGCTACAAATATGTTATGTGAATTGAAATGACTGTCATTTAGAAACCTCTAAGAGGAATATTAAAATGATCTGAGGCATCTTGGAAGACTACTGCACAGTGTTTTTTAACTTTAATTACAGTCTTATCTGACATAGCATGACTAAGATGAGCAGGACATGCTGTCCCTGCCTCCATGCAGTGTGCTCTCCTAGGTGCTCCATGTGCATTCACTAATAAAATTTCCAGGCATAGGTGTGCACAGCTGTTTGCACTTGGATCTTGTTACTGCCCATTACTGAGAGAGGAGRTGGGTCTTGAGCACTGCATTACCTGCTGACAAGTGGGTCTTGCATCAGGAACTGACGGTGGAGAGAAAAAGGATGGAGACAGAAAAGATGTTCTTGAATGAAAAATATTTGCTGTTTGTGTCTTGTTAAAGAGGAGGGACAATCCCTGCAGAGCCCAGCAATAAGTTGGGCAAGATGCAGCCTGAATGAAGGAAGCTACAAAAAAAAGTGTGTCCTTCATTCCCTGTATCCCATCTTCTTTCCCTGGATTGCCTGGGCTTCTCTGCCCTCTCCAGGTGGGTGTTTCTGGCTGACTGGCGGGGAAGGAGGGAAGGAAGCTTTGGCAGTGGTGGAGGGAGGGATGGAGGGCACAAGTGTGGTGCAGGGGTTCAGGAGCTGTGGCTGAGTCTCACCCCCAGGATCCTACAAAGCTCATCAGGGATTTTTTTATTATTTTGGCTGTTCTCTGTTGTGTAATACCAGTTTGAAAACTAACCTYTTTTTCTTCCATTTCCATCCTATTTTCATCCTGGACATCTGTACTCCACAACTTGAAGACAGATGAGACAGGAGTGGCTGAAAATATCCTTTTGTTCTCTTTATTTTTTCTTTCTTTTTTTTTTTTGTCCCATCTCCTCCTCTAGCTCACTCTTTGTAAATGGACGATTGTTATACGGTGGTGTTCTGTGTAACACAGTCCCACCTAAAACATTTAAAAATTATATTTGCAGATATTATAACTGAGTATGTGTAAAACACAATGAGCCTTCATCCTGAACTTGTTTGCTTGCCTTCTTTATCCCTATTTACAGAGGTCACTYTTATAAAAGTAGGAGATGAAACATAACTTTTGAGTTTGGACAAACCTTACCTCATGTTTTTTTACATCGCTTGTTGTTGTGTGTTTTATATCATCTAAGACCATTGGCCATAACACAAGACAAAACAAGATGTTCTAATTCTTTTTTATAAATAAAGCTTGCTTTCTTTAAAATAGAAGTTGTCATTTTCAGAAATACACACATTGTTCATAATTTATAAACAATAAACACTTCTTTTGGCAGGCTGCCATGCAGTTCCTTTTCTACTCAAGGTCTAAACTGTGAATGAGAAATGATGTGAGAGTTACAAATGGTAGGGTTAGCAAGGTTTGAAGTAATATTGGTGGATCTGGCAAGGTTTGAAGTAATATTGGTGCCAATCCAAGTTCATGTTAGACTCTGTCAGGGTAGACCAGTTCAAAGATAGAATACAATTTACTGGAACTGACTATGTCAATGAAATTTAAAGTAAAATATTGTGTAGTCTTACTGCTATGTGTTAATGACAAGATGTCATGTGAGGCTAACCTCACCCAGCCCTGTTGGGTAGATWGTGGTTACCTGTGCATCTGGATTTGGAAGAATCGCCCTTCGTAATTATGGTAGTGGRGAATGGCGAGGGAGATTACGCACCAGGCAGGCTGCATTAGGCAAAGTGCATGACCCTGAGCAGCACTTCATTGCTTTGAACCTGCAGCTGGCCCTTCCAAAGCAATTGCCTCTCCCTCTCCAGCCCCTGCTCCACCCGGATTGCTTGCAGCTGCAGTTGGAGGACTCCTCTGAGGACATTGTCCCCATCCTCTTCTGCAGGCCAAAATGAGATATCCTGAAGGAGGCTCCCTATCCTGCCTTTTATGTCATGTGAGTGTGATGCTCAGGCTTGCTTTCCTTTTAATTTCATTTTTTGGATGTTTTTGTTATTCTCATTAGTGATAGAGGACTTTTTTTTTTTGTGTGTGTGTGTGTGTGTATGCCAACAATCCCAACACCTATTCCCCCACTCTTTTGGGAGGGGGAAGAAGGATAAGAATGTGGGATGAGCACTTACCATTCAGACCTTTCTGTGTGGCTTTGTACAGAATATATTTGCTTTTGCGATGRGAGGGAAGTCATTGTGTGTATTGAGTGGTGGGCATGTCCCACTGCCCTTGCAGCATTCCTCCACCTGGGTAATTACAAGGCTTCCCCATCACACATTGCTGTAGCAAGAACCAGCACTCTCTGATTTCTGTTTGGGTTATTTGTATTTAAGTAGGCTCTAGTATTTCCTTCCCTTTGGCTTACTCTGACAGCTTTTCTGGGTATATGCATATTGCTGTGTTATCGTGGTGTATTCACTTGACCTGGATTTTTGAAGGTGCGGAGAACATGTTCACTCTGCAGTTTTTCATCCCCTCAAAGGCGACATCAAGTTTTAGGAAGTTCAGATATATAGTGAATTCTTTCTTCTGGTTCTTGACTTTTAGGTGAAATTAAGAACTTAAGCCTTTTTAATGTGTTTACCATTTTTTGTTCGTTCACAATTTGTCATTTCTATTTGGAATCTTTATTAAGGAACCAGTACATCTTCTAGATACAGTGTGTGCTACTCTTACAGCTCTGTAACCTAATCTTCTCTTCCTGTATAATTTATATACTGGAATTGTAATAGCCCATTGATTTTGTCATTCCACTGTTTCAGAAATGGTTTGTTACATTGACTAAAGGCCTGAGCTGACGCTCAGGAGTCAATGGAAGCCTTTCAATTGACTCTTAACAAGCACTGGATCAAAATCTAAAACACAACTCTTTCTATTGGAAAAGAAAAATGCAAAACTTTCCCTCAGCAGGGAAGAGCTGTCTGGAGAAAACGGAATACTTGTGTACATTTTCTCTAAAGGATATTCCCCAAGCATTGGGGACAATGTAATAGACCAACTATTTGGTTGAAAATAAAACAATTATCATGCAATTATGACAGCTGTCTGCCCCATTAATATGCAAATATTCATAAACAAGCTGACAAATTGCACATATGCAAGAAGAAGTCTTTAAATATGAACATCCCACTGTGTTTGTAGAACATAAGGGCAGGAAGTTTCTTTTTGGTTCAGGAAAATAGCAACATGTATTTCAAAATAATTTTGCTTTGGTTTATCAGATGCACATTCCCAAGAGTGAACAATGAGCTGTGATGTGTATAAATAAAGTCATCATGTGCCTCAGCACTCCAAAACTTAAAATGTTTACTTAAAATTGGCAGAAGTACTGTAAATCTGAGAGCTATTCAAGCTAGGTTAACATGAAGAAAACCTATACTTGTGCGGTAAAGAAACTGCTGTTCTTCTGAAGAACTCATTAACTGATTACACAAGTTAATCATTCACTAATTAGCAACCTGTGTTAATTAGTATTCCCATATTAATTGTGATTTTTTCATTGACCACTTGATTTAATTGCTCATTTGTCCCATATTAACCATTCATAATCAGATTTACACATTAACTACTTTTAAGGTAAGCTACATAAATTCATTTTTCTCCTAGTTGATTATTAGGTAATTTCCTGGGTAATTATTCACTAGCTATCTCCTAGTTCATTATTTTCTACCTTGCAATCATTATCTAGTCTCCAATTAATAATTGAATAAACTCTTTCCCCAGGTAATTTTTAACTAGACATMCCTTATTAACCAGTAAATTACCCCAGCGTTAGCAGATCTGTCCCAGCCCTCCATTTACATGTGTCTGGGCTGGCCTAGGTGCCACGCAGTGGTGACTTACCCTGTACCTGCCACCTGTGTTAAAGATAATAAGCCACCATCTGAGCTGGACTAAATGTGATTTCCTTAGCAAGTGACTACCAGGATGCCAGAATARAAGAATGTTTGGGAGTGAACAGTGTCCTGTGTTCAGACAAAACACGCATGTGGTAATTTCCCTTGCCCCTTTTTGAGGTGTCTGAGTGAGCCTGATTTGGCCATTCTCGTTTCCCCAGCTTTGCTATAGTCGCAGTGACAAAGGAGATTCCAGCCTTGTGACTGTGAGCTCTGATATCTAAAAGAAGGAAGTTTCTCCAGTTGCAGGGAAGTTGCTTGATGAAGTGGGGAAAAATAGCAGAGGAGGAGGAGCACAGTGAGCTCTCCGGAGGAAAGGAGTCTAATGAGAACAATCCTCCTGYGATTTTTTTTCTGGAGTAGCAGAGACAGGTAACCCACATAGGACGAACGTGTGGGACTATGAAGAAATGTCATTAGAGAGGCAAGCATCCCCRTGGCCTAGCTCCTGCTTTCAAAGGAAGGGTGACAACTCTGAATACTGATGCACTCTCAGATTTCACCTTTGCTTTACACAGAGGGCATGCTGTATAATCAGGACTGCTCTGTTTGCCCAGAGGACATGGGATGTGGCTAGCATATCTTCCCAAATTTAAATGGATGGAAGCTACCATTCCATCTCATGCAGACTGCTGAAGGGCCACCCATCACTATGACCTCCAGTATAAATCAGTTATTCTATGAACTATATATAAAGAGTCTGTTTATGTTTCTCTCAAGAATTTTTCCCACCACAAATATTTTCACTATTTTCTCCTAATTTGTTGTGGAAAAGACTGTTGTAACTTTATTCTCTGTGAAGGCATAGTTTGCTTTTCATCTAGCKCCATACACAGCTTCAGACTATTACTTGGAATTTAATTTAGATATTTCCTATTTGTAGTAGAATATTTTGAATTTTGTTATTTAATAATTTTATGAAGTTTTTTTTTTTAAAGGAGGGTGTGGTGTTTTGCAGATCGGTGTTCAAATGTTTGTATTCTTCCTTTGTCCAACTTCCCACTGGTCGTCTCTTGATGAGGAACCTCGTGAGCATTTTTCCGTGAAAGCGAAGAACTGAACATGAACTGCAGGATTTGTCCAACAGAAAGGTGTCTCTGGACTGGCTTTACATGAGCTTTCATTCAGCTCTTCTTTCAAGCTCTTTTTCCTGAGGCGATGCAACCAGGGCTGTAACGCAGGGTAGGGGCTTTGCTGTGATGAGGTTGCAAGGCCAGTGTAAAACTTCACAGCAGAACAGGAGAGCCCTTGCTGCTGCCCTTGGAAACAAGCCTTTTGAGAACTGTCAAATGACTTTGTGGCGTGTAGAGGTTTAGCTGAGGGGGAAAAGCAAAGAACAACTCTGAGATTTTTCTAATGTCACATTYAGGTTGCATAAATCTCTATATCTGATGAAATGTGTTTTGCGTATTATTTGGAGAAGAGGGCCTTAAAAGAAAAGTTAAGAAGCAGAGGCTGAAATAACTCAGGTTACAAAACTTTGGCATTTGTATTAAAATCATTTTTATAATTTATATTAGATTGTTAAAATATTTTTACACTAAGATATGTTTTAAATAGGGTAAATCCCTAAAATAATAAGATGACCAAGAAGCTCTTCAGAGCTGCCGGCCTAATGGCAGATATGAGACGACAGAACACAACAGAATATAAATTGAAGAAAGTTGTATATTAAGCACATGTTGCTTGTAAATTTATTTTATTTCTCATTTACGTTTCAACATTTTTCCGTTTTTTTTCCTATTAGGTATGCTGAATTTTTGTAGAAATACATCTAACTTTCTGTCATTTGCTGACAGCTTAACTTTTATGTATATTTATAAATGTATGTCTATAGAGAAAGAGGGACAGATGCATTTTCTTCTCCCTCATACACCTGAAAACAGAAATGTGCCCATAAAATTTATAGGCATTTTGAAATCAAAGCAGCTGCCGTAGAATGGAAACATGTAATTTTGACTACAACTTTCCTGCTTCTTTAGGAGAAGTAGTGGAGGATATGTATGTCATGATGGATGCTTCCATGCATAATATGTTCTCAAGGTCTTACCCCTTGAATGATTTTACAGTATAATAAGCTTTTAGGATTTCAAATGGCTAACTTTGTGAAGCAGAGATTTCTTTCCTGGATTCCCAGGTTGCATTACTTTCTAAATCATCATGGGGACACAAATTCATTCTTTCGTTTCAGTTAATAATACTATAACAGAAAAAAAAAAAAAAAAAAAAGATTTGAAAAGATAAAGTAATAAAAAAGATAAATCATTTAAAAAAAAAAAAGGAAATCTAATTTTTGAAAGGAGCAAACTTTTTTTAAGGCACCTTCCACGTTCAATTTGGTGTGTTAGTAATATCAAGTCACTGAGTTGTTGTATACAAACACCAAAAAGCTTTTCTTGATATACAAATCTGAACCTTCAGTCATTGGAGAGCAAGGACACAGCGGTGACCTTTATGGGAAAGTGCTGTAAGCAGATAGTGATTTTTCTTGTCCTTTAGGTTTTCTGTAAGAGAATTCAGAGTGGGTGAAAAAGAGGAACTTTGGCAATTCACAGTATGGAAAGAATTTAAAACTATTTGTGGAAATAATTAAGRTAACGGTTTTTGCTTGTTTGAGTTCAGTTTAGTAAACTACAGTGTAATTCTCATTTATTTTAGCTTTGATTATTTCAGTCTATTCTTAAGTTATTCAGAGAAGATTTGTCAAAAGAACCTAAGCATCTGAACACAAAGTACTCCCAGATCATTTACTTCAGGAAAATCCTTTATCTTTTATATACATATAAGATACCTTTTTGAAGTGTATTAAGGTGCTAAATTTTGTTATGCAGTTGAGAGCCTTACCTGGTGCAGTCTTTTATTCCTGTACMAACTGGCTGATGTAAACATGAAGCATGGGTTATACCTTCAACACCGATCTGTGGCCCCTTTCTTTTCATCTGGGTGTTTATTACGTAGTTCTTCTAAAGGTTTGAGAGAAATCTTCATCTGCCTAAATATTAACATGTCTTCAATGTCTTCATCTCTAAATAAGAGATGTCTCTTGGCAGTGGAGGAAAAAAAAAATCTGTTACAGAAGCTCTAGAGCCATGCCTGCTATTAAGTGCAGATGTAATGGCTATCCAAGAAATAACGTTCATGGGTTTGAAAATGTTTCTTTTTGAAGGCAAAACAAACCATGAAATAAGATGATAACAAGGCTGAGATTTATGTTTTTAATCCCTTCCAGGCAAAAGCTCTAGATGAATTTCAGTCAGAAAAGCCAGTATAACCGGCAGAATATTAAAAAGAATGCATGAGGGATTAAGGACCTAGCATAAAAGGGAATAAACAAACAAACAACAAAAAGAAACTAAAGTCAGAAGCTAATGAAATTACTGTAGAATTACAGCCTTCAGCTAGGAAGATAAATCCATAAACAGCCCTATGGAAAACAAGTTGCTACTTAAAGATTTTGTAAGAGGAAATAAAACCAGGGAAATTGAATAAGCAGATGAAGTCCAAAGAGGGAGACAAATCCCATCTGTGGCCAAATATGTCAAAGGGCAAACTAAAAAATAATTTATTGAAATTAGAATTGGTCTGATAGTTAGAAAAGAACAAATTGCATTTGTTCTTTTATTAATAACATATTGTCTGTAAGGAGTTCATTCACTTTTTTTTTTTAAAGCATAGATTTGTTTAAAATAGGCTTCTGTTTACTAATGAAATTGGCTTTTCTTAAAATAAACTCATTACAAATTTTTGTGATTGTATCTGACATCACTGTTTATCTCCATGGCCAAAGAAGACTGGAGTAGATCTGCACACATGGTGAAAGATAATGCTATGAAATTTTGTTCAAGGGAAATAGAACCTATTGTTTAGGTAAACTTTTATTACTTCTATCTTAGCCTAACCTGCTATATGTACAGTTCTTCACGAATCAAACTGACCTGTCATTCCTTCAGTATCTTTCCTCAAGTAAGGAGTCTCCTGTTCCATTGTAAAGTAGCACACTTTGTACAAAGTCATGGTGTTTTGAAGCAACCAAATCTCATCAGAGCTATCATGGCATATTTACCATAGACCTAGTGCCTGTGGTTTATAATTGTCATATTAAAAATTCTTTGCCTTTATGTGATGTGAAGCACCAATATATGTTGGAAAAAGTGGCCTGGAGGTGTTAGTGTTGCTTTCCACACTCGTGGACAAAGCAGCACTTCAAATATCATCACAAACAAGGAGAGATGGTAAAATACAAAATTAGGAGTCCCTAAGTTTGTGTCGTTTATATATTTCTAAATAATGCCTATTTCTGCTAACAAGTTTCTGTATACTTTTGTATCAGGTCAGGTAGTAAATATAACCAGCTACAGGTAAAATATCTACCAATATTTTTGGTTCTTCATTTTAGTGTTATCTTTCAGGCTTTTAGGCAAAGCTTTAGAAACAATAATTTGCTTGGTTCCCTACTTGCTGCTTCATTTAATAATTAGCAAAAGAAATATATTATTAGTCAAATCTTAGAAAAATAATTTCTGCGACTGATAATACTAATAAGTTAATATTGAATGTCATTCTTTATGCCAGAACTACACTTATTGATACTGTCAATTCACAGAGTTACATTATGCCTTTTGAGCRCTTGATTTCACATCTAGTATAGCTGAAAAATGTAATTTACATAAGGTGTCTGTAGAAAAAATAAAAATTTTAGTCCTGGGTTGTAGCATTTTTCATATTCCTGTAACTTCAGGGAACTAAAAGAGGAACTATTTTTTTGGCCTGCTCTTACTGATAGCTCAAAAATTACAAAGGACATTTTTAAGCATAGTAACAAGATGAAAGAASTATTATTCTATTTTTATGTATTACATATCGACTTCTGTTGACTACATATTGAAGCAGGCTCAGGTGGTCTTTTTTTTTTTTATTTAGTTGCATTGTCTCAAGTAGTATAATGCTTGTCATGGAATAAAGAGCTGCTTCAGCAATAGGCTTTGTGAAGGGTGTAACTTATAGCATGGCCTTGTTAATTAGCTGCATCTGGAGTAGGGGGCTTTTATGGAACTGAGTACATGCAGCTGCTGTTGCTTAGCCTGGAAGCATTTGTCTTCTAAAATATACCTCTGGTGTGAGTAAGAAGTGGGGGTGAATTAAAGCTAGAAGGCTTTTGTCTGTCTAGTCATGATCAAATAGGTAGAACTAAATGTCTGACACTGAGTTGCTAGAAATGGAAGTGTGAAAGAAAAACTGCTGTATGTCACGATACTGAATTAAGTATTTCGCAACCCAAAATGTAGAAGAATATCTTTTGAGTAATTATTTTAATAATTATTCTGTTGTTTATACCTCCTTTGGGGTATGTCTGAGATATCTGATTAGATAAGTTATGTTGATGATTGTTTTAAGATTTCTTTCAAGGTTTAAGCTGAAGACAAACACAGAGGTTCCTCTACAATGTGTGCTGTTAGGGTGCACAGACTGGAGATTAAAAATGCTATATTTCTTATCCTGAGACAAAGCAGTAAGAGAGAAAAGGTGTTTGGCTTCAGGTCACAAGTCTGAGACRTGGCTGAGCTGAAGGATATTGTTAGTTAATCTCAATGTAAATGGTTGTCTGATCTTTTGGGTTTAGGAGTTCAAGGCAGCCAGATGCAATCTGCTCTTGCCACTCCATTTCCTTGTGTACCAGAGGCATGATAAGTTAATTTTTTGTGGTTGTTGAGTGGCATGAAATTACATAAATTCCCCAAATGTTTTCACAAAATGTTTTCTATGGGGAGGTGGAGASGGAATATGATTTTCGACTTTGAATATATTCAGTGTTATTCTTTGTAAGGTAAAACTTTATTTTTTTAAAGTGGTAGTTTTCTAGAAGAAACTCTTAAAAATGAACCAAATGAAAATGATCCTTTTATCACAGTAGAGAAAACTGTAAATAATTTTAAAGTTGAAGCATTTCTAAAATGTAAAATTGGAATCATACTTTTCAATATTCTTCCCACACACTTTACTCTAAATTACTTATTTTGAGGGAAAAAGATCTGTTTTACCTGGAAGAGATGGTTCTAT